AAAAAAAAAAAAAAAAAAAAAGACAAAAACACTTAGGTTGGAGTCTAGGCTCCATGACTTACCAGCAACTGGGACCTTGGCACATTTGCTTGACCTCCATGAGCTTTAGCATTTTCAACTATAAATTGAAGACAGTAATAGTTCCTGCTTCATAATATTGTTGTGGGGATTAAATAAGACCATGTAAGTCAAGTGCTTTGCAGAGCATCCAGCAAAGAATTCAACAGCAGTTGTTGTCATTATTGGCTAGAGAACATAGGACTGAGAAGAGGGGTCAAGTCCCAGCCTGACCTCCACTCAGGATACTGTAGACAGGAACAAGGCCTCAGGAGGGCAGCAGGGTCCAGGGATCTTCACTCCCTTCCACATGCCAGTTGGCTCAGTTGGCATAGGCACCGGGCAGGGTAAGGAAAGTGAGGAAGACTCATTCCCTACAAATAGGTACCCAGTGCTTACCACGTGCCAACACTGTTCTAAGTTATTTGCAGATAAAAACTCATTTCTTTTTTATAACAAGCCAGTGTGGTGGATTCTATTATTCTCCCTCCTTAGTGATACGAAAAGTGAGCTTTAATGACTCCCCCAGGTAGGTCCTGTTCTGACCCACTGGGCACAACCACTGCAGGACCATGGTTCTGCCTTTCAAAGTGGATGGGAGCCACTTCACCAACACCACCTTCAGGTGATGTCTGTGCCACCCTGAGAAAGACTGTCTTTGACCCATGCTTTCTCAAGGAAAATATTCACTGTGTGATTATTAGAGCCCTGGGAAACTCTGAGAAGTTTCTCCTGCTTGACTCTCTTCTCCCCTTTGGTCATTTCTGCAGAATAAACGAGAGAGAGCCAAGCAAGTAAAAGAATGTGAGAAGAGGCAGTCCTGGGTTAAATCACAGCTGCAGCTACACACCCTTACCAGCTGTGGCTCTCTTCAGTGACTCATCTTCTCAGAGTTTACCCATCTGTAAAACATGGTATTATGAGGATTAGAAAAATGCACATAAAGCATATAGAACAATGCCTAACACCTCAACTTATAACTATTATTATTTGGCCACTTTCTCATAGCACTGAGTTCTTGTTCTGGTCTTGTCTACCTATGGAGGACTCACCTGAGACCCCCTAGTTTCCTCATCAATGAAGTGGGTAAGAACACCTATCCTGCTTTGTAGGATTGTCATGAGGCCTGGAGATATTGTAGTATAAGCTCTTACTACAGCACCTAGCACCCAACACTGTCACCAACTGCACCTGTCAGGCTAGGGCCCACAGACCCTTTAAACCAGTTGTATAGACTGGGTCACAGACCCCTCATGTGCCTGGCTGGGTCACAGACCCCTCACATGCCAGGCTGGGTCACCAGACCCCTCATATACAGGTTGTGAGCTAGGTAATTGGGAAAAAACTCCAGGAGCCATTGGCAGAGTTGACAGGTTCATTCCAAAACAAGCTCAGTCATCGGTTTCCTCAGCAGCAGCAGCAGCAGCTTATAGGAGCCTCCAGCAGCAATAGAAGCCTCCCCGTGGGGCCCCTCACCCGGGGCATCCCAGGGGTGGGGAGCACTGTGGATCAGAGCCACTCATCCTTTATACTTAAGTCCGATAACCCAGGAACACCTGGATGGAGTCAGACAACCAAGGAACACGTGGGTGCATGTGCACAGTTATTTACATCAAATGCTTGGCAAGATTCCAAACCACCCGAGGGAGCCTGACCATTTACCTTCACGTTTGCTACAACATCCATAACTCTTATTTTTATCATCATGATTAGCTTCTCCCAGGAACCAAAAATTTTACTGAAACTCCCAACAGATCACTGGAATTATTTCCCAGTCACAACTTGTGGGAGGGAAATATTTGAATGTTTCTCTTTCATAAACATTAATTGCTGCCTAAGAGGAACTTGTAACTGTTAAAGATTTTAAAGGTCCACCTTCTAGAAGATCCTCTCATAATAAAGCACATCTTAGGCTAGCACATAAAGGGAAAGAAAGCCAGGCCACTCAAGCACTTCCTCTACAGCACGGCTCTATTTCTCAAACCTTTGCTTTTTCTCAGAAAGTCAGCACTACCAATCAAACTTTAACAGAATCCTTCAGATATGATGGAAAGGGTATGGGGATTTCAAAGTTAGACGATCCAGGTCTGTGACTGCTACGTGACTACAGCCAGGCCACTTACCCTCCCTGAGCCTCAGCTTCCTTACTTACAAACTGGGAAAAAGAATAGCATTAACTTTACAGGAGTGTGAGCAGGGTCAAATGAAGAGATGTGAAATCAATCTGCAAAATGTAAAGCACTATGTAAATGTGAATTATTATTTACTACTAAGAGAAATAATACCAAATTTAATGCTCAATCACAATAAATAGCCTTAGGAAACTGGTATCTTTATATCCTCCTCCTTTAAAAGTTTGAATTTCCTATTTCCATTTTAACAGTCTTTGTGAACTTGTGTCTCCTATTATAAGCCACCTCAAAACTTTTTCAAAGGAGGCAAAGTATAAAAACAAACAAAACAGCTCCATGGTGAGATGTAGCATGGACCATGCACCCTTTCTCCATTCATGTGCACCTGCAAGATGGCTGTGGGGTTAGATTTACTGTCTACAGCCTAGAATCCTGGGCTTGTTTCTTTGAATGAGGGAAACTCATTTTCTCAGGAATGGGGCCAAAGCCAGGGCCAAGCAGCCCTAAAGGTAACTCTCCACCCCCAACAACAGTTACCCAACCAGAAGAAAGGGCATTGGCGAAAGGGAAGCTTTCTTCCACAAATGTTACCTTGAATGCTCTAGTTTTATACCTTTAGCCTCAGAACAGAGTCTCCAATTTGTTTCCTGGGGAATTATTAGGAGCATAAAGCCTTTTTGAAGTTTTGCTTTTTCTAACTACCAGTTTGCCAACCATATAGAGACAAATCCACCCTGAAATGGGGTTGAAATGAGAGAGCCAGTTATGTGAGACATTCAAGCTGTCGCTGCATTTTAAACATAGCACACAATGTATTACACAGACACCATTCATAAACCTGAGTCACAGGTTTCAGATGGAAGCTGGGTACATGTATAAATAGCCTGTGCATGTCAAACAGCAGAAAAGAAAGGAAGTTTGGGGAATAAGGTCAAAATCATTGTGCCCAGTTTAAACATTCTAAAAATCTCAGTCTCGTCATTATTTACAACCCCCAGCACAACTCACATCCAGAAGGGAGAGAATGCCAAATGGAAAATTCTAAATAAGCTGATGTCCTCCCATTGAACTAAACAGGAAAAATGATGCAGCATCATTAAATGAAGTTATAGTTATGTTGTCTCACTTCCAGGCTGCCGGATACCCACAGTACAGAGCAGCCACTCTCTAGGATTTTCTGGGCTTTGGAACTGCTTTGTGATCTTTATGAAAAGGTGGCTTTGATTAGTGTTGACCAATTGGTTTGTATTAAACGACTCTGTGATGGTTTGGGGTAGCAATGGAAGAATACAACTTGCAGTGGTGAAGAACTAACACCTTGAACATGTTGCAAATGTTAAAAAAATTCATTTTTCCTATACTCATGTTCCTCCTTCTGCAGCTCATCTCTGTTACTTTGGACTTAGCCATTACCAACACCCTGCCCCCAAACCAGCTCGTGAAGTCACTAGGCAGGGCCCTCACAAAGCAGAGTATAAAATCAGACATCCCACCAAGCTCAAGGCTGGTTGCAACTGAAAGCAAACCCCTCCCACCTTCTGGCCTCTCCCATTTGAGGTGAAGGGCATGGCCGGGCCTGGAAGAAACGCAACAAGAGTCTAGGGCAACCAGTAACGTTCTTGACTCCTTCAGACTTGGCCTCGATTCTGGGTCATTCCGTTCCTTAGCAGGCACCTTCCAGCTTCCCAGCCTCCATTCCCACGGCCCAGGAACTCAGTGAGAACTTGAAAGGCGCTGCCCGATGAGGTGGATTCAGCAGCAATTCTCTCCCAGGAGAGGTTTAGTGTTTCATCACCTAACTCCCCCACGTCCCTGATGCTCAGAAGAGCTTTACCACCTGTGTGTAGGACTTGAATGCCAAAGACTGGGACACACAGAGCAACAACAGACACACAGTTAGCTCAGCCTCTGGCTGCGGCATGATTCCAGGTCCTGTTCAGACTGCCTGCTGGTCTCTTTCTCACACATCCCCACTCTGGTCCCTCCTCCAGTCACCAGTAGAAGCAGACTGCTCAGCCTCGGGCCTCTCCCATCTCGGTCTCTGATGATGTGCATGGAAGCTGAGTTAAGAGCTCACTAAAGAGTAGATCATGCTGAACACAAAAAGAGAAGGAAAAGAAGGTATTAGTGAGAGTCTGCAAAGAACTCCGTCTGGCCCTCAAAGGAGGCCAGACCCAATGGCTTTGCCTTCATTCTTATCACTGGAGCATCTTGTCCACCCCCCTAGTGTGCCCCCTACTACCTCCCACAATACTGGATTAAACATCCGTTAGGAGAGCATATTGTGTGCCTTAGATAAAAAATGTGATTGCTCTAAGTGCCTATTATTATTATCATCTGGATGATTGTTATGGTGGTTATTCCTTCTCCTGAAATTGCAGGGCAGGTCTCTGGGGGATAGGGTGAGTCCAGCCAATTCTTTATGCCACCCGCCACCATGTGCTTTCCTGATGGCTGTGTCAAGGGGCTTCCAGATGATGCCGGATTGCACGTTAGTACTGGGGAAAAGGTCATCATCACTATTGTGAAGGCAACTGTGTGAACACGAGCCCGCTAGGTACATGAATCAAACAAATTCTCAATTGGGTGACTCACCAGACCTACTGTTTCTAATGGACTCCAGGCATTAAACATGAACTAAGAGCCTGTGTCCTAATGCTCCAGCACTACCAGTGAGGAGAGCATGCATCCTATGCTCTTAGAAAGGGCTTCAAGTTAATTCTGCAAGGCTGAGGCACAACCCATACCAAAATACATCACTTTGTCTATTTGGCAAGAAGAAAAACAACCACCTTCTCGTATTATAGAGAGAAGAAAAGATAGTGTAAGAAGCAAAACCTAAGGAAAGAAACTAAAGTGTTTTACTTCTAACCCTATGCCGTTGTGAAGGCCCAGTGAGCTCCTCTGAGTAGCTGAAGTTCCGTCTTCTGGAATCTGACACACCTCATGTTCACAGAGCACCAGTAGTCTGGCCTGCAGCTGGAGGGACTTATTCTATGCAGGGAAGTCGAGGGTCACACAGCTAGTCACTCCTAACTCCAAAGCCAGTGCTTTTTCCACTGTCACACGAGTGCTGAGCCTCACTGTGATGTCTTTGTTTACTCACTTTCATTCTTTCATTCTATTCTTATTGAGCACCTACTGCATACCAGGCAACATTCTCAATGCTTAGAAACAATGGTAAGCGTGCATTCCCAAACCCTGCCTTAAAGAAATGTACAACCAAGCTGTAACAGCAAACGAAGAGGGTTTAGTGCCAGGCACTGACCAGGGCACTGCAGATACAGAGATGAATGAAACAGACGAGGTCTCTGCCATCAAGAGACAAGTTAACCATAAAAACATAATTACAGATTGAGATAAATAAACCTCAGGAGGGTGATGCTACTTTAGATAGACAATAATATCTTGTTTTATTTACACTATTGGTTTGAAAAGATCTTTCTATTGAGCAGCAGATAGTGTTCATACTGAACTCGCTAGCTGGTATTATTAGTATTAGTACTAGCTAGTCCCCATCCTGTGTAACCCATAAACATCACCTGGTCCACAGGCAAACTGAGAAGGGGTGGTGGTGTACTCCATATGGTCAGCACAGCATTATGGAAGGAGCCCAGATTCCAGAGGGAGATAAATTGCTAATTAATAGCTAGGACCCTGGATACATTTCTCAGGAACCCCTGTCAACCCCACCTTCTCAGCTGCCACCTTTGTGAGTCTCTATCCTGAGCTCAGCTCACATGCAGCTCTGCATATCCATGGTCCCCCTAACCACTCCCCAACAGTGGCTGGGACTGACAGTCCTGTGCTCTCCACCAGCTCTGGATCTGAGGAGCTGGGAGCTCCTGAGGGAGGAGAAACAGCGTCTTCAAAGAGCCCCAGGGCCGGCCCGGTGGCGCACTCGGTAGAGTGCGGCGCTTGGGAGCGCAG